CTCTCTCTCTAGTTACTTGCCCATTTTTAGAGAGGAGATGGTGGAAGTTAGAACAATACAGAGAAAAAAAATCAACCATGTAAATTAACATGAAAGACATAATTTGTTGGGCTCATGTTTCAATATACTAAACAAAAATAAAAAGAAAACGATAAACATGAAGGAAAAGATATTAGAAAGATAGTAGTTTTCCTACCTTTTTTTTTTCTTTTTTTATGGATTTGTTATGTATTCAGACCACATTCAGGTATATCAACTGGTATAATTCACAAACTTTAAGACACAACAAGATGCTTATAATATGTTTACACAATTCAATCAAAATAGTCCAAAAGCATAAATGCATTGCAAGCATCATCCAAGGTATATATATGTTACCAGGAGCATCTTCAAAAGTGCGTGTGTCCCAATGTGAGCAAGTGCAGATTTAATCCGATCATGGCCTTCAAGATCATCGACATAGTGTGAGACACATTCCCCTTGTTCATAAGTTTCCACCAAAACAGCAGGATGCACAAGTGGATACAAAGGCTTGGGGAAAGAGACATCCTTCCATCTACGGAAATTATATATAAAGCGACTCAAATGGGCAGCTTCCCTTGCAAGATCAACTTGAGACATCATAAAAACTGCAAACTGCTGTACACTCTCATCCAATCTCCACCACTTTAAAGCAGGAATGAACTTTGAAATTTTTGCTACCAGATTGATTATAACAAAATCTCTCCTAATCGATTCACCAACACCAGGATGCCTAACCTTTACAGCAACTACTATGGGCTTCACCTGTTGACCAGGGTACCTAAATCTTAAAGTAGCTCGATGCACTTGAGCAATACTTCCAGATGCTACTGGTTTCTCTTCAAAATTATCAAAAATCTCAGGGAGCTTGCGGCCAAACGCTCGTTCGATAGTTTTCTTCGTGTAGGCAAAGCTATGTTCAGGAGCTTTGGTGTGAAGCTCTGAGAGCTTGGTGCATAAATCTCTCGGGAAGAGATCAGGCCGTGTAGCTGCCCATTGACCCCATTTGATGAAAGCTGGACCTGCCAATTCCAATGTACGGTGAACAACATGAAGCCACAATCTCCTAAACTCAGGTCCACAGCAGTCAGCAAAAGCAGCCATCATTATACTGGGTGAGAACAAGATCCCTAGATAGAGTGCTCTCATAACCAAGATTGCACCTTCGAAAACTGAAAACACTAATGAGGTCATAAAAGCATGTCCATCTTGTGCACGCATGTACAATGTATTTGGTGATGGGTGGTAGTCCGTTTCTGAAAAAGACCTCTGCGCCCATGCTAGCTTCCCACTTGTGATGGCAAAAATACCAGGAAGTATGAGATTAGAGCGGGTTACAGCCAAGCTGAAAGCTTGAGCAATATTAGTTATACCTGAAAATCCACGACCATTAAAAGAAAATTTTTCGGAGAGCCTTTTCCAAGCAAGTTGGGCATGATGTCTCACTGCACTTCTTGCTGGAATGACCGCAAAACTCCTGGAATAATTACTCCGGTAAAAAATGTTGGCGGTATTGTACAATGAGAATGGGGTATTTCCTCTAGCGGGAAACGTATAGTCCCTGTAGAATCTGTATTGGGGAAGACGGAGGCCAACTCTAACAAATGTCCCATACTTGTCCGCTTCTGGACACCTGTGTTTCTGGCTTGTAACAACGGAATTTGCAACTTTCCTAAAACCTCTGAACGTCAAAAATCTGCGTTGCAAATATCAAGCCAATTAAATTAGCACAATACCATTTCCATTGGTGGAGAAAATTTAAGAAATTCAAGGCTTGCTTCATTTCTCAGCTCCCTTTCTCATTTGCAATATATATTCATTTTTCGAAAGGAAGAGCACGAACTATAAACAATTACGCGAATTCCAGTGCATCACCACAAATTAAAAGGCGATTGGATCATCAGGAAAAAAAAAAAAAAAAAACTAACCCTAGCTGAAGCAAAACGATAGAAAACCAAAAGAAAGGCGACGGACCTTGACATGGTGATCGAATCTGAGGAAGACTGGTCGGAGCTAAAATGCGCTGATGTAGGAGGAGGTGTGAGGTTGCAGTAACCAGCATCTTTTCCTCATGGACTCTAGCCTTAGGCAACGTCCTTGTTCATGCTCGAGAGCTTTTGATATTGATTTTCCGGATTGTTATAGGTCGGTGAGTTTTAGGGTTTCAGACAACGTAAACAAACAGCAGCGGATCAAAAGCTTGGATCGGAAGAAGAAGAAGAAGAAGAAGAAGAGAGCGGCCTTGCCGTGGGTAATTGGGTCGTTATTGGGCCCAGTCTCGTGGGCCTCACGCAATGCTACTTTTCTTAGTTGCCGACCAATCGGGAGATATTTGATGCGTTTAATAATAGCTTTTAATATCACCCGTATACTGGGAAAGAGTCTTTAGTTTCCAATGGAGGGCTTCCCATTATTACCCAAGTTAAGTCTGTAATTAGAATGCGCTAATAAAGAATTTACCCGGAAAATCCAATGCTTTTAATTAAAATGATTAAATATTAACAATATGTATATATAAACCAACGAAATTGTATTTATAAAAAATTGTAATTCAAAATACAGTAAATAAATAATAAATGAAACTCACTTGAATTCGAGACAAAAGCTTGCAGATTTGATGCAATGTCTTAAAATTTTAAAAAAAATATTAATTCGAAACTAAAAAATTAATTTAAATCTGAAAGTGCCCCAAGGCCCAAGGCCCATCTTTTGACAATTAAATATTATATATTATTTATATAATATTCAATGCCCAAATTGATTTTGAAGCCCAATTAACTTCCATTTGCTAAGTGTGGGACTTCCACACTCATAAAAACTTCACTCTTTATTCTTTCTACCAATGTAGGACAAATGTCTTTGAAATTCATTCAAACTTCCAACAAACATACATATATGAACATATTTAAATAAGTGGTTAATCATGGTATTCTTTCAATTCAAATTTTAAATTATATAGTCCTTATACTTTTACTTATGTTTCTCTTTCATCATTACCATCAAGTTTGCGCTCAAGTTTCACTTCAACGGGGATTTTTTATTTCAATATGTAAGGTGACATTATTGACTTATCTCCTATAATTAACAAGCAGATTCTGACTTATTTCACCGGCTTAAAATGGGAATTGTTTGGCAAACAAGGGATCCCTATGTTTTAATTATAATTTAATATTTTAAAAAAAATTAAAAAGTACAAAATAATTAATTACTATTTATTAAGTCATTTATAAAAAAGACTAAGATATTAATTAATTACATATATTAAATTAAATAAGTTAGCCAAAAAACAAAAGTAAAGAAACTAATTTTCTACTTTAAATTTTTTTTAAAAAGAGCAAAAACACTTATGCCGATGAAATTTCGTCAGGAGATGTCTAATCCGGCAAATTTTCGCCGGGATAAACCTATGCCAACGAAAATTCGTCGGGAGAGGTTTTTAAAAAAAATAAATATAAACTTAGTATCTTTAGCTCAATAAATTTTTTTTCAAATTTTCTTTTCAGTAATTAAATAATATCTTAACCTTATTTATTTAATTTCATTAGTATTTATTTATTGAATAATTACTATTAAATATTTTAATTAACTCCATAAATTATATTACTTAATAAATAGCAATTAATTTTTTTAATATTTTTTTTATTTCATAAAATATCTAAATACTAATTATTCACTAAGTAAATAATAATTAAAACAGATTTTGCTATTTAAAAGAGAAATCCAGATTTTGCTATTTAAAAAAGAGAAATCTAGATTTTGCTATTTAAAAGGTATAGCCGCGCGGCTATACTATTAAAATATTCTATTTATAGAGTATGTCCGCACGGCAATACTTCTAAAATATTTTATTTAAAGAGTATAGTATAGCTGCAAGGCTAGACCTTTAAAATCTTGTATTTATAGTGTATTGCCGTGCGCCTATACTCTTTAAATATATTTCCGCATTGCATCAACATTAAAAATGTGGATTTCTCTGTAGCGAAGCTGAGCCTTGAGATAATGTATCAATTAGACACGGTGCATATTTCTAGCTTTGTTCCTATGCGTGCGCTTATGGTTGAGGGAATATTTATGCCTTGTTTGTGTGTTGAATGTGTATGAGGAGTGATACGAAGAGGTTGCTTATCTTTTTAGGTTCCCTTTGTCATATTTCCTTATATATATTCGAACATTTAAACCTCTCTCGATGAAATTTCGTCGGCAAGTTTATGCCGGCAAATATTTGCCAGATTAGATATCTCCCGACGAAAATTACCTCTGCCGATGAAACTTCGTTGGGAGATGTCTAATTCGACAAATGTTCGCCGTAATAGACTTGTGCCGATGCAAAATTCGTCGGGAGAGGTTTTTTTTCAAAATAAATATAAACTTAGTATCTTTGGTTCAATATATTTTTTTTCAAATTTTCTTTTAAGTAATTAAATAATATCTTAACCTCATTTATTTAATTTCATTAGTATTTTTTTAGTGAATAATTAGTATTAAATATTTTAATTAGCTCCATAAATTATATTACTTAATAAATAGCAATTAATTTTTTTAATTTTTTAAATTTCATAAAAGATTTAAATACTAATTATTCACTAATTAAATAATAATTAAAACATAACTACTAATTAAAGTAATTTAAAAAGAGAAATCCAGATTTTGCTATTTAAAGGGTATAGCCGCGCGGCTATACTCTTATATTATTCTACTTGTAGAGTATAGCCGATCGTCTATACTGTTAAAATATTCTATTTACAGAGGATAGGGTATAGCCGCTCGGCTATACTGTTAAAATATTCTATTTATAGAGAATAGCGTACTGTTACTATTCTCTTAAAATATTCTATTTAATTTTTTTCTGAAAGCTAGGAGATGTCCAAATTTTTTTTTCTGAATTGCGTACTGTTACAAAAGAAATTTTTTAAAATGCTACGAAAATCGGGTCGGAGTCTTGAGCCGTATACATTTGTTCGCTTGCTTCATTTACTTTCTTGTACCAAAAGCCTACTTATAAAACCCGACAGTCGAAGATTGACATTGGATCGGAGCACCGAGGCTTTGTTTAGGCTGAAGAATTAGGAAAAAAATGTTGGTTCAGCTTCCGCGCCTGACCAGCTCTCTCAGAGAGCCCTTTGACATCGACCAGGCCTATTTGCAGCGCAAGCTCATCCTTCAGAGCCAGAAGCCTCGCCAGTACTTCCTTTCAACAATTCACTCTCTGTTTTTTTCTTCCTTCTCATAGTTTTTTTTTACTGTAATGTTCTGTTTGACTGCCAAGAAAACCTAGGAAAAGTGAGGCAAAGTAAGCAGGAAACGTATTAGTATAAGATAGGACTTGGAATACCGAATTTTCCCCTGCAATGAGATTAATGCAATTTGGCTTAGCTGGTTTTTAATGGAAAAGTTCAAAGCACGTTATCGAAATTTCATGTTCTATAAATTTTCTGTGCCCCTTAGGCTCCTTAGTGACCAAATGGAGGAGTAATGCACTGCTGGGCACGTGAAATTTGTGCTAATTTTTACTAGTCAAGCTGTGTATAATTCCTAATTACTTGGTCTTTGATCAATTAATCCCAAAATAACTTTTGAACCTTTGAACTTTTGCGCTGTAGGTCTTCGAGCTCAGTTGATGAGTCAGAGCTTGCACGGAAGATAGTTTATAGATGGGAAGAAGGTAAGACAACTTGCTGTAATGAAATTGTGGACATACCACGTCGTATATGATATATTGAATAAATCGAAAATTTGTGGACAGCTTCGGTTGAAGTGCGGCAAGCTTACAAGCAGTTTACTGGGGCTGTGGTGGAGTTGATAGATGGAGAAGTTCCATCCGAAGAGTTTCGTGAGGTGGCACTGACCGTGTACCATCTTTTTGGCAGGCCAGAGGAGGAAGACAATGTTGAAACAAATATTGCCGGAAAAAAGTAAGAATTATGTTCCCAATAATTAACATTCCTTTTTATCAGACAGAAATTAAATTAGTTTTATAAGTGGTTGATGTGTCATGTTCAAATTATGATATTTACTAACTATAGTATAGTTAATGTGCATGGATATCTGGTAGAAATAAGTAATGCATCTATCCAAAAGCTAGCAGATCCAGATAGTACATTTTGCTTTTTTGGTTTTTGTTTTTTTTATCTTGATAAGTAAAGTTAAATTTAGTTGTACAATTATATTTAAAATTTAGAAACTTCGGAGTCACTGCATTTAGGAATCTCTTGTGCTCTGGCCTCCGGGAACACAATGAACACGTTATTCAAATCCCACTACTAATAATTAAGTCTCAAGATACCAAACTGAACAGTTCTAGACCAGATTAAAGGCATGCTTGAGACTGGTTTTGGAAGGCCTAAAAGCACTTTTAACATCCAAAAGCGCTTTAGACAACGTCTGGCAGAAAAATTATAAAGTGTTTATGGGTGACAACCCAAGTACTTTTCCTGTAAGCACTTGGATTTTTAATAGTTTTTGATGTGTTTATAAAAGTGCTTCTAGAAAAAGCACTTATGAACCCCAAACGAGCCTTGACTCACGAAGGATAAAACCAATTCAGTGCATAGTTATACAAGATGTTTAAATTTGTCATAAAAATAAAACTAAAGAATGCTGGGATTGTGTCTAGTGAGTATTTATTTCATTTATTTATTATCCGGGGTTTGAGATTGTGAATAATTTTAACAATAATTATGGATCAAAATGAAGAAAAGTTTCAAGAATTTTGATTGCATTTACTCATATTTGAAATGCAGGCTGGAAGTGCAAAAACTACTTGGTCATGCCGTTTCAGATGCTAACGTGCAGAAAGTTGCCTCCCTAGCCCAGAGACTTGCAGGGATGCAGTCCAGTGATAAGGGGACTACACTTGTTTCAGAAAGGCCTGTAAACGGGACTCATGACAATGTGGAATTTGGTGCTGACCTTGTTTTCCATGCACCAGCTCGATTTCTGGTGGATGTTTCTTTGGAGGATGGCGAGTTATTGGGTGAGGAAAGCACTGGAATTTCTTCTTCATATTATGAAGGATTATATAGTCGCAGTAACTTGAATGATCATCATCCTTCTACTGATGGACAAAGCTTCAATTTGAGTTGGTTAAAAGATGCATGTGATCAGATAGTAACAAAAAGTAGTTCGCAGCTTTCCCGAGATGAACTGGCTATGGCCATTTGTCGGGTGCTTGACTCTGATAAACCTGGTGACGAGGTACTCATTAAATTTCATTAACTTTTGCTATGGGTTTCACTCTCAAGTTTTTGTAGACAACTGATTTCATACTAATTTTGAGATATTTTCCCAATGAAGATAGCAGGTGTCTTGTTAGATCTTGTTGGGGATAGTGCATTTGAAACTGTTCAAGACCTCGTATCAGTAAGACTATAATTATTCTAATACTTTGTTGTACTAATCTTAGTTACTCTTTACGTTTTCCTCCCAAAACACCACTAACACACACATGTATAGACAAAACAAAATCCCCTTCCCACAGTACGCTTTTTTATGTGTCATCATGATCTTCATTTGAAGAAGTGGTACTATGCCATGCGGTGAGATCTTATCTGTTAAATAAACTGATTTGATCTTCAAATGCAAAGTTCATTCCCCTCTCTTTTAACAGAATACCACATTTTCAATTGTCGGATACAATTGTTTCTCTGGCCATCTTGGTATGCATATTGGATGGGTTTTTGTTAGAGAAGTCTATTCCAGATTTACGCTTTGATAAGTGTACAGCTAAAGTTTCTTCTTTAAATATTGTTTTCTATATTTTCCCAGCATCGAAAGGAACTTATTGATGCCATCCATCATGGGTTACTGGGACTGAAATCTGACAAATTGTCAAGCTCTCAATCACGTATGCCTAGTTATGGCACACAGGTATAACCGCTTATGTAAAAGATTTGTTCTCATTAACACATAAATCATAAAAAACATATGGAATCAAGCATTGCACTTCTGTTTTCAGGTTACTGTTCAAACAGAAACTGAACGACAGATTGATAAACTTCGGCGCAAAGAGGAAAAGCGACAAAGACGAGGAACAGAATATGGCACTGATAGTGAACTGGCTGCTGTAAATTTTTCTTCTTTACTACAAGCAAGTGAAAGAAAAAATCCTGTTGATGATCTCTTAGCGCTTGGTGAAGGGCCTCAATCTTTAGCAGTTAGTGCTCTTCCTCAAGGAACTGTGAGGAAGCATCATAAGGGATATGAGGAGGTCATTATTCCCCCAACACCAACAGCACAAATGAAACCTGGAGAAAAGCTGGTACCCATTTGCAGTTCCATCATTCTACTTCATGTTTATCATTTTAGTTTTATTTACTGGTTCTCAATATTCTTACTTAAGTTTGATGATTGGAGATGACTTATAGGGACCTTTAGGAAATGCACAAGTGGACCCCTAGTGGGTGAATCTCCTATATTTTTTAGATACTAGCTGCTCTCATAACACTGAAATACTAGACATGTTTTTTTTCTCTTTCCATGACCAATAGGAATTGCTAAGTTTATTATACAAAACATGCGAAGAAAGCATGAACAGAGTATAAAATAGAATTAAGAATTCTCGGTGTACAGGTCCTTTTAAGAGAACATTGCCACTCTTTGTTCATCAAGGCAGTCAACTAAAAAGAAAATTTCTTTTGTTGTATTACTTATGAACTTATGAAATGAAATCAAAGTAGTCCTATCTTGGAACTTGCGCAAGGGCCTATAAATTGACTGATATGACTTGTGCTAGATTATAGAAACTTCCCTTATGTCCCCGTCCCAGAGAAAGAAATATTTCTTGGAGGCTTTCTTCATTTTGCCAACATTTTATCATATTTGTTTTTTTGTGTTGATTTCGAACAGGGGAAAGGGATTGGATAGAATGTATGTTACATGTATAAGCCTCTGGATAGTACTTTCTTTAGGAGATTATATTGAGCATGAAATTCTTTGTATCTCTGAGATAATTGTATGAATATATATTTCCAGTATGGAGTTCTCTGGCAAACTAACCATAATAATTTGCGTGTTTTCTGGTGGTTAAACAAATAGGATTGTCCTTGCTTGCTATTTCTTTTATCACTTACTGACCTCCATTTCTTTTATTGCAATTTATGTTTACTGTCTTATGCTGTCAGATTGAGATAACGGAGTTAGATGAATTTGCTCAAGCTGCTTTTCGTGGATATAAGTCTCTGAACCGTATTCAGAGCCGCATATTTCATACTGTTTATTACACTAATGAAAATATACTAGTAAGTTATTGATTCTGTTGATTATGTGAATACCAACCATTGCAGTGAAAGTGCTGATATGATATGCTTGAATGTGATTTCCATTTACTTGCAGGTTTGTGCTCCAACAGGAGCTGGCAAAACAAACATAGCTATGATTTCTATTCTACATGAGGTATACAAATGCTTGGCTATTTCTGGGTCTCTATTCTCATTTTTGGCAATCATACTTTTTCTCTTACTACTCTGGCTTGATCTCAAATTTACACATTTGGTTTTGTATTGTGTATGAGTTAATCTGGGTTAATTGCATAGTTAAAATGCCAAGGGAACAGCTGTACTGTCATATGAGCTGGTATTGTATATATTTTTCTGGGAGGGTTAGTGTGTTAAAGATATCAGCTTGCAAAATATAGCAAGGAAACTAAGCTTTTGGCCGCCTTAGTTATTCGACTCCTTTTATGTCATGGTGATGTACTTATAGTACTTTTCATGTTGAATTCAACCTATTTAGTTTTTGAAAATATTCAGTATGGAAGTATAACATCCATTCTGAGATTTAGATAGTGAGTAGGCATTTTCTGTGGCAGATTGGACAGCACTTCAAAGATGGTTACTTGCATAAAGATGAATTTAAGATAGTTTATGTTGCACCAATGAAGGTATCCACCCTATATAACTCTCTTCCTTTTTTTTTTTTCTGACCGGGTGGGGTGGGAAAGTAGGCATTGAAATAGTGGCTTGTTATTTATTATCATGTTTTTTTCAGGCATTAGCTGCAGAAGTTACATCAACTTTTAGCCATCGCTTATCTCCATTGAATATGACTGTGAGAGAACTTACTGGAGACATGCAACTTTCTAAGAATGAACTTGAAGAAACTCAGGTTACTTTTATCAAATTCTGTGTGATCTGTGTGCTTTTAACTGTTACCTAAAAGAGGAAAATGAAAATCTTAACGGCTTCACTTTCTTCTTATTCAGATGATAGTCACAACACCTGAGAAATGGGATGTCATTACTCGCAAGAGCAGTGACATGTCACTTTCAATGTTGGTGAAGCTCCTAATTATTGATGAAGTGCATCTTTTAAATGATGATAGAGGCCCTGTAATTGAGGCACTAGTTGCTCGAACTTTGCGCCAGGTAAACTTTTACTGAATTATTAGTGTTCTTGCCTTCTTTCTGCTGAATAACTAGGTGAGAACATTTGTACAGTTGCAACTTATGCTCATGAAAGTTGGAGAGGTATTATCTGTTTCTTATTAGGGTTAATGTGATAGCTGGATGTTTATATTTAAAATGTTTATCAGATGTCTGTTACAACTTACATGTTACTTATGTAGTTTATGGTTGGTTGCAAAAAATTTAGTTGCTTATGACCTTTTGTTTACTTTTTAGTTGTTTTTTTTATAAAAAAATTTATAAAATGTGTGTGGCAGGTGGAGTCTACACAGACAATGATACGCATTGTGGGCCTTTCAGCCACTCTACCGAACTATTTAGAGGTATTTTGGTCACCTGATGATATCTTTTATCTGTATTTATTGGTCTTGAAATGCTGTACTCTGAAGTCTATTCTATTTATTTGTTAATGTGGATTATTCTTTTATAACCACCCAGGTTGCACAGTTTCTGAGAGTGAATCCAGAAGCAGGACTCTTCTTCTTTGATTCTAGTTATCGCCCAGTGCCCCTCGCACAGCAGTATATTGGTATTAGTGAGCAGAATTTTACAGCCCGTATTGAATTGCAGAATGAGATATGCTACAAGAAGGTTTCTTTTTCCTTGGGCTCTCCTTTGTGTAATGTATGTATTAGAACGATTATTTAACTGATTGATACTTTTTCTGCCAGGTTGTTGAATCACTCAGGCAAGGTTATCAGGCAATGGTATTCGTTCATTCTCGAAAGGACACAGCAAAAACAGCTCAGAAATTGGTATACCTTTATATTCCATCTTACTTTTGTGGGTTTCTAATTGGTTGAAATTCTTTTTTGCAAGTGTTAATAATAAACTAGTCATGCTGACTTCAAAAATGAGGAAGCTTCAGTTGGTTGCTGATGCAATTGCATCAGCTGGACCAGTACGATTCCTTGCAAGTTTTGATTTCAGCCATAGTAATGCCTTGATATTTGTATAATATGTTTCCTTTGGAGAATATGTGCCATTTCTTTTCTCTTATATTGTTTTTAGTTTTCGAGTTAATGATATTGCTTTGGTTCAAAAAGATAAAATTTATCAACAATATGACTTGAGTGAAAAATAAATATATTAATGTACTAAAAAACTATGATCTGTATTGATGCAGTAATCATTGGAAGTTTGATTTTAAATGTGTGAACTTATTGGGATAATTTTGAAGTTCCTTAAGATGTCAGTTAAATGGATTATAAGGACCATGTTGGTATAATTTCAAAGGGATGCAATTAGGGATGCGATATTAAATATAATCTGAATGGATAAAATCTGTTGTGACATTTGAATTCTTATAGAGCAACCACCAATGTGGTTTATCATAGCAAGATTAGCTAGTTTCAATTTTTTATAATTCTTCAATGTCAATCATGTGTGGTGTGTTATGCTCTGCTTTCACTTTTAACTACTTATTACATGTTGAACAGGTTGAACTTGCTCGCAAGTTTGAAGGACTGGAGTATTTTAAGAATGATGAACACCCACAATTTTCGTTGATCCAGGCAGGGAAAAAGAAGAAGAAAGAATCATTTATGTCCTGGATCTTATTATTAGTATCACACCTTTTATTTCTTTTAATACATGCATCATTTTATGAATTTCAGAGGGAAGTTATGAAGTCCAGAAACAAAGATCTTGTTGCACTTTTTGAATTTGGAGTTGGAGTTCATCACGCTGGGATGTTACGTACTGATAGAGGGCTGACTGAGCGCCTTTTCTCTGATGGACTGTTGAAGGTAGATATCATCTAGTTACCCTTCGTAGCAGCACTAATATATTTGGCTGAAATATTTTTCAGATAGTGTTATTTTCTGTTTTAGGTACTTGTTTGTACGGCAACTTTGGCATGGGGTGTAAATCTACCAGCTCATACTGTTGTGATAAAGGTTTGTGCACATTTCTGAAATTATTATTTATTTCCATGGCGTAAATTTTGCGCTAATTTAGCTTAGGCACTTTAATTTTCTAACGATGCAAGATGTGAAAAAAAAAACATTATATTTGAAGTACCTGGTGTTTTCTTTAGGGGACTCAATTATATGATCCAAAGGCTGGCGGTTGGCGAGACCTGGGCATGCTAGATGTTATGCAGGTGAGACTCAAAGCTCTTCTCTTGTAAATACATCTTAAGTAAAATTTATCATATGTTCTTTTGTTTTTCTGTTCTCATGATATATTTCTATAGATATTTGGACGGGCTGGGAGACCTCAATTCGACAAAAGTGGTGAAGGCATTATAATTACATCTCATGACAAACTGGCCTACTATTTGCGGTTGCTGACAAGCCAACTTCCTATAGAAAGTCAGGTACTTGTGTAGTTTAAGTGAGAGCTTAGAACATTATGTTATGTATGTAGCCAGGTCAGTCAGTGGGTGAGTTCCTCTTATTCCTAATGTCAAGTACCTAGTTAAATTTTAGACAGTCCTTGCATTGCTTATTAGTCAACTTTAGGTGGTTTTGACATATTCAGATAAGTTTTAGGTGGTTTTGAATCTGCGTTTATTTGATTATTTACTTTAAACATTGCTTATCATTCTGCTTTAGATCTGAAAGTGTAACTAATTTGTGGGACAAGGTACACTTCAAATTTTGCTTATTAGTCAATTTTAGTAGATCTGGAAGTGCTAGGCCAAGGTATCATTGATCTGGATGTGCCTTTGGGTACTTCATTATGCCTTGACATGCTGCAAAGAAAAGTCCTCCGCATGCTTAAGTTTTATGTTATAAAAGGAAGTAGAATGGTGATATGATAACATTCTTGTGTGTTATAAACTTTGAGTTTTGCATGTTTGTGTGTTTGAAGTTATCCAAGGATATGTTAAGATGATTCACTTTTCCTTATTGTTCTTGAAATTTTCTCTATGCAGTTTATTACTTCCTTGAAAGACAATTTAAATGCAGAGGTGGCACTTGGTACTGTCACCAATGTCAAGGAAGCTTGTGCATGGCTTGGATATACGTACCTTTTCATAAGAATGAGGCTGAACCCTTTGGTGTATGGTATTGGGTGGGATGAGGTAGTCTATGTTGATTTGACTTTACCTATATGGTTGATTGGTTGATCCTTGTTGAACATTTCCTTGACTAGCAGCCTGACTTTATTCTCAGGAGGACATGATGTATAATTCATTTGTCTTTAATGGTGCTTATGTATAGGATATTTGCTTTTGCTTGTTTCATGTTTTTGATATTTTCTTCTGCCTTTTGCAGGTTGTTGCTGATCCTTCCTTGAGTTTAAAGCAAAGAGCTCTCATAGCAGATGCTGCACGTGCCCTGGACAAAGCAAAAATGATGCGCTTTGATGAGAAAAGTGGCAACTTTTATTGTACAGAGCTTGGTCGAATTGCAAGCCACTTTTATATTCAATACTCAAGTGTTGAAACATACAATGAAATGTTGAGACGCCACATGAATGAGACTGAGGTTATTGTTTTTGTGAACTATTTTATCTGTATTTTAAATTTATTTTCCTACCAGTTACACCCCATTCATTTCTTCTATCAAACTCGTTTTCAGAAAAGAATCCTACGCACAGCCTCGAAATATGTTTCTCTGTATTTCTTGTAATATAGAGTTTCTTTTTAATAATTATCATTTAATTTGATTTCGCTGGTGCTGCTTTTTCTGTTCCTTCAGGTAATAGACATGGTAGCCCACTCTTCTGAATTTGAAAATATTGTTGTTCGAGATGAGGAACAGAATGAGCTAGAGACGTTGGTGCGATCATCGTGCCCATTAGAAGTTAAGGGGGGTCCTTCAAATAAACATGGAAAGATATCCATTCTCATTCAGGTTGCTTTATGCTCAACTGGTACCAAATGCTAGTGAAGAAGTTAGAAAAAGGAAGTATTTGTTAACTAATTTATGGCTTATGTGTTTTGCAGTTGTACATATCTCGTGGCTCGATTGATACCTTTTCGTTGGTTTCTGATGCTGCATACATAAGTGCAAGCTTGGCACGCATTATGCGGGCATTATTCGAGATTTGTCTACGAAAAGGCTGGTCTGAGATGTCACTGTTCATGTTGGAATATTGCAAGGCTGTGGATCGCCAAGTTTGGCCCCATCAGCATCCTCTCAGACAATTTGACAGAGATCTTTCAGCAGAAGTTTGTACAACTTACTTTTATAATATTAATTGCGGAAAGTGTAATCCATTGTTTGAACTTATGTTTCTATTCATACAGATAGTGCGAAAGCTTGAAGAACGAGGGGCTGACTTAGATCGCCTATATGAGATGCAGGAAAAAGACATTGGAGCACTGATTCGCTATGCACCTGGAGGAAGGGTATATTGTCTTTAGTATGGTCCTTTAAAGTTCACCCTGGTATTGGATACACCAAACAGTAAGAAATTTGTTTAACCCTTTTTTCCTTTTCTTTCATTGGCTAATTGAAGTTGGTCAAGCAATATTTGGGATATTTTCCATGGATCCAGTTGTCAGCAACTGTAAGTCCAATCACCAGAACTGTTTTAAAGGTAGCTTCCCTTGTGAACCTCATATTTCTTTTTATAGTAATTTCTACCTCGTTAAATATTGTTGACTCATCATTCAAGAATAATATTTTGAAATACTAAAATATATTTTTAATTTTCAGGTGGATTTGGTTATTACACCAGACTTTATATGGAAAGATCGTTTTCATGGCACAGCCCAGCGTTGGTGGATTCTAGTTGAGGTGCTGACGTGGTATCCACTTTCTAGTTAATTTTGTGCGGGTCATGGCTTCATATATTATACATGTTTAAAGAACAAAATTTTGATTGATATTTTAAATTTTATCTTGCATTATAGGATTCTGAGAATGACCACATCTACCACTCAGAGCTTTTCACTCTGACAAAGCGGATGTCCAAAGGGGAACCTCAGAAGCTTTCGTTCACTGTGCCAATATTTGAGCCACATCCACCTCAGTATTATATTCGTGCTGTTTCTGATTCTTGGTTGCATGCAGAGGCTTTCTACACCATATCCTTCCAGAATCTAGCACTGCCAGAGGTATTTATATTTTATTGTTTGTTAGGATATGGTGGATTTTTTTATTTGTTTCATAAATGCCAAGGTACTCCTGCCAAAAGGTTTGTCTCATCAGAAAACTATTGGTTTCTTCAGGCTAGTACTTCGCACACAGAATTGCTAGATTTGAAGCCTCTCCCTGTGACTTCACTTGGCAACAGTATTTATGAAGCATTGTACAAATTTTCACACTTTAATCCAATACAAACACAGGTTTGGTTCAGTGGTTCTACACCTTTTATTCGTGTTTCATTTTCAGGCGTACCCATCACATTTCAATGACTTGATACTCTTTTTCCGGAATTGGGCAGACTTTCCATGTCCTGTATCACACAGACAATAATGTTCTATTAGGAGCTCCCACTGGAAGTGGGAAAACTATATCTGCTGAGCTCGCTATGCTTCGCCTATTCAATACCCAACCTGATATGAAGGTATCTCCTCCACTTTTCTGTATACAATATAACACAGAACAAGAATAGATAGAGAAATGCTAAATGAGAAAGGGTTTGGTTTGTTTCCGGAAGACGGCACTTCTTGGTGCTGATCTGGGTAAAGCTAGGAAATCACTGTCACTACTCACCTGGTCTTATGCTTTCACATTTTATCAAATTTATAGACTGAATTACTTGTGTGTTTTCATACCATACAGCTCTGCTGTGATTTGATTCTGATTATCATCAAATAGTATGCTCTGTAGTTAAGTATAAAATTTTGATTCTGCACTTGAGGTTCCTTATTGTGCGGGTGAAACATTTGGTGTATGATCTTTGTGCTCCATTACGTGTTTTGAATGCTGCTTTATACACTAAATTGTACTGTTTCTGAATTGTTGACTGTAGGTAATTTACATAGCACCTTTGAAGGCTATTGTTCGGGAAAGAATGAATGATTGGAAAAGACGTCTTGTCTCTCACCTAGGGAAAAAGATGGTGAATTTTTTCCCCTTATAGCTATAAATAACATCTTAACATGTGGTACTGGTAATAACTCAATCGTTTATCAGGTTGAAATGACTGGAGATTATACTCCAGATTTGATGGCCATATTGTCAGCGGATATCATAATATCTACTCCTGAGAAGTGGGATGGTATCAGTCGTAATTGGCATAGTCGAGCCTATGTTAAAAAGGTGCATTCATTCATTCACATATTATTATTTTTTTCTTCTTCAAGAAGGCATTAGTTTATTTGTCTTGTTACTTTTCTACTTAATTTTTACTTGTTTTTTCACACTTAAATTCCACTAGATCTTCTCAAGTCATTGTGCAAGCTATGTCTTAATGTGTGTATTTCATCAGTAGGTTGGGCTTATGATCTTGGATGAGATTCACTTGTTGGGAGCTGACCGGGGACCCATCCTTGAGGTACCTATGCAAAACTCTAGTGCTCTAAGCTAAAATGAACCAATAGTTTTTTGTGTAACATCCTTTTTTTTTTTTGGGTCACACTTTTTGTAACATATTTACTGATATTATGGATTGTGTAGTAAAATTTGAGTTTTGAGCGTCAAGTATTACCCCTATAATATTTCAAATTATTTATTTAACTCAAATAAAAGAAGTAACTCAATGAATATATGGATTGAATGTAGCTATTCCTTTAATTTGTAAAGGATTTATAATGGGATGCTTCAAAAGTTCTGCTCCATTGGGTTCTAGTTAGTTGTGAGAAATCACAAAAGTTGACATATAAGAGAAATGAACTTGCTTATTTTCATGCTGCAGTAGAAACTGGCAGATACATATCTCCGTATGTGTGTGTGGACACTATTCTTTAGATGACCAACTGATATACTTCTGGAGAAGGAAAACTGTTCTTTTATTACTTTACTTTTTTTATATATTCATAATATTATAAAGAAGATGAACATAAATGTACTACAAATAAAAGACATAGAGACTTATTAACTAAGGAAAGTTGTGGGGCTCCTTATATTATTTAGTTTTCGAAACAGCCTGAGCTTTTTCAAATAACAATTAGGCATCTTATTTCCAACGTGGTGTTTGTTGTAATATGAAAAGACCTTCTATTAATATTAGAAAGACGTACTACTATAAAGGACTTTTCTAAAACAGTTAATAGTTCTTTCAGCTTTAAATATATCTAATGTGCACATTTTTTAGGTCTGTATTTTAATGTATGTATTAGGGTTATCAACCTGTGTACAAGTTGGAGCAACTTATTGTAATTTGTGATCTAGAGTCAAGTGTGATTAACTTTTATCATAGGCTTTCTGTTCTCTATTTTTATTCTTTACCAATTAATTTTTTTTTCATATGTAACGAAATAGTAGATAAATGACTTGATTTCTGAAGGGAAAGTCTTGATAGCATTATTCCTTATTGAATGTAAACTTTTCAATTTCATGTTTCTTGTATTATTACTTAGCAGGTTAGTATTAGGCTCATAAGTCTGCCAATCTTAATTCAATCCCGTAAATATTTCTTGAATCTTTGTTATTTATAATTGGATCCCTTATTTTTTAAATAGTTATGTAATGATTGCAAAATTATATGTACAAATATGTGCGGGTCGGTGACCTGATATTTGATGGAAACCAGCACATATTTGTTGGACTGGGTTTGAGTGCAATTTTTATGTTCCAGGTTATTGTGTCAAGGATGAGATACATATCATCACAGACAGAGCGTGAAGTACGGTTTGTAGGCCTTTCTACAGCTTTAGCAAATGCAGGGTATGTTTTTATGTATCTTCGATCCTAGCATCATGTTATCTCACCTCGAAGTCCTCTAGTATTTTTTATGTATAAATAATTTGTTGCCATATGTACATCTGATGCTGAGTTGGATCCTTGAGTGACATATGTTTGTAGATCACTCAATGCAACCCTCTCTGATGCATTATTTAGTTAGATATGGTTTAATTTGTCATCAATATTATCAGGGTTCTTAGGCATGTTTTAATTATACTGCTTTTATACAATTGCAAAGCTAAGCAAGAGTGGTAGTTGTCACGTGCTTTATGCTCTTTTGTGGAATTGGCGCACTTGAATTGGTTTATTTTTCTCTTTATCCTTGCTTAATGTATTATGTTCTTATATTCTTATGACGTTGCAATTACTTAGGGATTTGGCTGATTGGCTGGGTGTTGGGGAAATCGGACTCTTCAATTTCAAACCAAGCGTGAGACCTGTACCTCTTGAAGTCCATATCCAGGTAATTGATTTAGTGTTTCAAATGGCTTCTGATTTCATTTTTAGTCTTTCTGTTCTACTTTAAAATGATTTGTCAATTTGTTCTCCTGGGGAATAATGTCCTTAAATTTGCAAGCTACTTTGTAACAACTTCTTTGTTATTTCTTGTGCTGTGTTATTAAGTTTTATAGTAATTGTTTTGGTTTTATAGAAACAATAGTGGTATGGTAGTTATTTTTAGATGCAGAGTTAATTGTGAGATTTTCTGATCATGGTCTGCAATCCTTTGCATTAATATTAGCTGTTAAATTTGTATCTCACTGGACACTTAGTCCTATGTAATTGTTTCTTTTCTCAATAGTACATACACGTGTTGAGAGATATTACATACAATGATACAAAGGTATTTAAAATTGGATATGTGGCCACACAAATTATACTGTTTTCCTTTTGATCTATGCATGTTAGCTTACCTATTATTATGATAGTGATGATGTGCACTAGATGAGGTGGACATATGGAGCTGTGTCTGTTTGTACATGTGTGCCTTTTTCACGTTGAAATGAAAGTAGATAAGGGCCTCGTGTATATTTACTTCATAGCAGTAATATGTCAGTTTATGAACAGGGATACCCTGGAAAGTTCTATTGCCCAAGGATGAATAGCATGAACAAGCCAGCATATGCTGCAATAGGCACCCATTCACCTACGAAACCAGTTTTAATATTTGTTTCCTCTCGTCGACAGACAAGGCTTACTGCATTGGACCTCATTCAGGTAGGATTCAAGGTCATACTGGAATTATGAAGCATTCCATAACTGTTGACTAATTTGTTTTGTACTTTTCTGTAATTGAAGTTTGCAACATCAGATGAACATCCAAGGCAGTTTCTTAGCATGCCAGAAGAAGCCCTACAGATGGTTGTTTCTCAGGTCACTGATAATAACCTGAGGCACACTTTGCAGTTTGGCATTGGATTACACCATGCCGGTCTGAATGACAAAGATAGATCTCTGGTTGAGGAGCTTTTTGCAAACAACAAAATTCAGGCATTTCTCTTTTACCTCAGTAATCATGAGTCTTTCCTGAAAAACACATTAGGAAAGGAGAATATAAAAAGATCATTTTCTTACTCTATATATTGATTAGGCATATATATTAAATTATAGGTATTGGTTTGTACCAGCACATTGGCATGGGGTGTAAACCTTCCAGCTCATCTGGTCATTATTAAGGTAAGGCAAAATTTGTGCAGTATCTTTTTCATTTGGTTCCTAGATTTACAAAGCTTTCTAGCAGGAGTATACTGCAGCAGCTGTTCTTCAGGACAAATTTACAGAACTGTTGATTCTCTCACAGGGAACAGAATATTATGATGGGAAAACAAAGAGATATGTTGATTTTCCAATCACAGATATCTTGCAAATGATGGGTCGTGCTGGCCGCCCACAATTTGATCAACATGGGAAAGCAGTCATTCTTGTTCATGAGCCCAAAAAGAGCTTCTATAAAAAGGTTAGATTTGATGTGGTGAACTTTGTTAGTGGAATGCTATATTTCATAAGGTGCTGGAATAATTTGTGGTTTTATGCATTGCAGTTTTTATATGAACCATTTCCCGTTGAGAGCAGTCTGAGGGAACAGTTGCACAATCACATCAATGCTGAGATAGTTTCTGGCACAATTTGCCATAAAGAGGATGCGTTGCATTATCTTACCTGGACATATTTATTTCGAAGACTGGTATGGTTTTGTCACATGACTCTATAGAATAAAAAATGGAAAGAAAGAAATATGTGAATCAGATTACATGCTTTTCTCCCTTTATAATCAACAGTTGCTCAGATTCCAGTCATCATTTTTTCTTCTTTTTGGAAAAGAAACACAAACTTTAAATAAATAGAGAAACAAATATGTCTACAAGAAAGATGGGAGCAGATGTTCATCACAATCCGCCCGCCTAACAATTAATAAACACAAATCATATTACTTTCACCATACATATCACAAGCAGTCCATCAATTTTCAATATGCATGATCAATTAATAGCTAGTCTATTAGGGATGGCCAGATGTGTCCCATAGTGGTAAATCATGTTCTGAATATTCGCCTCAAATACTAGGAATCAGGTTGTTTGGGGTTTTGAATATCAGAACTTCTAAGAAAGTCAATGGATGAAGTCTTGCAGTCCTATATCTAATCAATAAAGCATTTTCCTTTTTAATTTTTCAATACTCTACACCTATCTTTTTTTGCTGTAAAAGTTCAGAACGCCTATCATTTGCATTGCTGTTGTGACAAGAACAGCACAATGATCCTCTTGTACTTAAATATGGTGAAGACACAAATTAAAAGCCTTTGGTTTTGATTATTTTGTGCCCTTAGTATTTGATTTATTGAGCCTGTACAATATCTTACATGAGCATTTCTGCAGATGTTTAATCCAGCTTACTATGGCTTGGACAATACTGAACCTGAAGTTCTCAGCTCTTATTTGTCTAGGTAATACCATGCTCAATTCTCATGGATTTTTTTTCTTTTATCAGGATATGCTTTCTCTTTCGATGGCATTGCTTTGATTACTTGTTGATTATTTTGGCAGGTTAGTGCAAAACACATTTGAGGATCTGGAAGACAGTGGATGCATCAAGATGAATGAAGACAATGTAGAGCCAACGATGCTGGGTTCAATAGCATCCCAGTATTATCTTAGCTACATGACTGTATCAATGTTTGGTTCAAACATAGGATCAGATACATCGCTTGAAGTAAGAAATGGTTCTTGAAGATTTTTACTCAGCATTCCAATTTCTCGCTTTTACTTTTTATGCCGTTATGCTTAAAAAGGTTCTGTACTTTAGGTCTTCTTGCATATCCTATCTGCTGCTTCTGAATATAACGAACTTCCTGTGCGGCATAACGAGGTAATTAGTCTATGGTTGGCTCTTACTTGGGTACTTGCTTTGTTATTTTTTATTTGGATTCATAATGAGGCACACTTGAGTGACTAGATCTTTCAACAGTGGATTCTGAAAATGGAGACAATTAACACTTGACCTATAACAACTAGCTTGTGAGCGAAGTGGTATCAGTCCTATTTATATTATATGTCGCAGTCATATGGAATCATTCTTCCTCCATACAAATTTGCTAACAAGAATATGTTTTTCTTTGCGTACCACAAAGACAACATAAAGTTCTACATCGGATCATAGTGAAATTTTAAGTATTAAAAAATTATGAGATCTTTTTCTTGATTTCGAACTGTAATATCTTCTTTGATAATAGGAGAATTACAATGAAGCATTGTCTGAGAGAGTTCGATATAAAGTGGATAAGGACCGCTTAGATGATCCACATGTCAAAGCCAATCTGCTATTTCAGGTCAGAGTTGTCTTCAACTATATGTTTTTTCCTGTTGTTTTCCTTTTTAGTTCTCTCATTGTTTTATTCTCTTACCAAGCATGAATTCTGCATTCAGGCACATTTCTCACAGTTAGAATTACCAATCAGTGATTACGTCACAGACTTGAAGTCAGTATTGGATCAAAGTATACGAATCATCCAGGCCATGATAGATATATGTGCTAACAGTGGGTGGATTTCAAGCTCAATTACTTGCATGCATCTTCTGCAAATGGTCATGCAGGTATTCTTCTTAGTAGTTACAATTCTGACTTCTTAGTAGTACTTGTCCAGAATAAAAGATGAGTGCAAATTGGCATTCTGCCTTGTTAATATTATTGCATTCTACTGCCAGCATATCAGTTGATTAGTTAGAGATGTTAATTGGCTATGCTGAGCACCCTTGAATGTTGTTAGTCCATGCCTCTTTCCTTTATTGTTTATTTTTCCTTTGTCTTCCAAGAGAAGTTCCTCTTTTGTGTCTTTCTTTTTCACAGTACATTACCCTAAAAAAATATAGGGCCATTTCAGTAGGACTCAAACCTTCTACAAAATCACAAATAAGAAAATCCAGGTGTTAATATCATTGAGGATTTTGTATTCTGAAGAATCAACTAGAAAATTGATGCCTGTCTATAACAATTTAGTATTGTCTTATTTAGGTAGATTTATCTGGCCTACGGAAGGGTTGGATGTGAGTTAACCAGACCTTCAGAGACCCCTAAAACATGAGAAATTATGACCTACTCATTAAAATGTTGTTAGAAGGGCCACTTTGGAATTTAGCCATATTTTTGTCTGTAAGGACAATGTGCGACACTTGCACTTAAATGGTACACTAATTATTTCTGAAAAAGGTGAAGATTTGATTTATCTATTTATTTATTTATTTATTTTTAACAATTACTCTTTGACTCGGATGATTTGTTCCTTAAGAAAGTAGAGTTTTCAGCTCCTAGCCTCTTCTCATATCTTTTGGGTTCTTTTCAGGGTTTATGGTTTGATAGGGATTCTTCCTTATGGATGATGCCATGCATGAATGTTGAACTTGCTGACTCGCTAAGCAAAAGAGGAATATTCAGCGTACAGCAACTATTGTATCTCCCCAAGGCAACTTTGCAGACCATGATTGGAAATTTTCCTGCTTCAAAATTGTATCAGGTACGGACTTCTAAGATAGTTGACACATGGCTGACTAACCCACAGGTCAAGATTTAACATGACTGGACAACTTTTTAAGTGGGCTGGGTAAGTTATTGAAATACAAGTCAGTTATGGGCTTTCAGGCATGTCAACTGATTTCAGTAGCTTTGGCTGCTTTGCATCTACAATTTTCCGTTGTTCTAGGATCTGCAGCCTTTTCCCCGCATCGAAGTGAAATTAAAACTTCAGCAAAAGGACAGCGGAAAGTCTCACTCTTTAGACATCAGACTGGTGAAGACCAATTTCAGGCAAAACAAATCAAGAGCATTTACCCCGCGTTTCCCTAAGGTAAAAACTTCTTGTTCTAAACTAGTAATGAGAAACCAAACTGAGCATCAGATTATCTTTTACAGGTGAAAAACGAAGCATGGTGGTTGGTCCTTGGGAACGCCTCAACATGGGAATTATATGCTCTAAAAAGAGTATCTTTCTCTGATCACTTGGTTACTCACATGGAGTTACCATCAGCTCCTAATACTCTCCAGGTACCATGTGGCTTTTTTTGTCAATTTGACTAAGACCATTATACGAATATACATCAATTACATTATTCATTTTTACCGAACATCCGACTTTCGATATTTTATTAAAATATGGTCACTACAGAGTAATTTTCGAGAGACGTTTACTATGGATGAATGGGGGTTATTGTAAATGGTCCTTTATCTATTACTGCCCACCACTTAAAGAAATTTTCCCACATTATAGATTATTCACAGTTTTAGCGGTTCTATTATATTTGTTCTCTCTCAGTGATAATAATAGTACTAGTTTGTTTTCAAAAAAATTAGCACAACGACGTCCACCACAACTACTACTTATGTATTATCTTAACACCACTACCACTACCACAATTGAAATTATTATTGTTATTGTTGCAATTCTTAACAATAGTTTTCTTAAAAATTTGTTAAGAAGAGTATTTTTATTGTTGTAGCTGTTATCAGTGATAGTAGTAGCAGATTATTACTATTAGTATTACTGTCTCTGCACCTATTACTAATACCACTAAAGAGTCCATGCATTTATGTTGTAGGAAGAAGACAAGCTTCAATTTGTTCCCCCTTGTAACTTCATCTTTATAAGTTGGAACTTTTTCTTGCTTTGCTTGCTAACATTTTTTTTACCGTGCTTTTCAGGGGATGAAATTGACTTTAATTTCAGATTGTTATGTGGGCTTCGAGCAAGAGCACTCTATTTCAGAGCTTATTCAACGGCAGTAACCAAAGCAGGATATATTATCAGTAGATGCATTGGACCTTAAGGTGTATATTTATAGATTTTTTTTATTTTTTCTGTGTCTTTAGAAAGCATGAGGACTATAAAATTCAACAGCGAAATGTAAAAACTCAAATATATATATTTATGAATAAAATAACAGCTGTAATTAGCTCCCTGAGAAATTAAGGCTATATGATGGGCTAACTAAAAACAACCAAGCTGCATAAAATTGCAAGACCAAGATTAGGAAGAAAATTAACGCAGAGGTCAATTATGGGGTACAAGAAACAGAATGAAAAGTCAATGCTTTCAGAAAAAAAAAAAAAAAAAAAACGAAAGGTGGAGATCAAAGTGCTGCTATGCGTGTTTGCTCCCAAAATGCGGCCACGTTGCCGGCCGGTATATAAATACTATTTTCAATTCTTTTTTGGGCCCAAACCAAAGGAAATGGGCTTAAACATATTCATTTATTTCACCGGCTTTAAATGGATCCAAAATGTTCTACCGACCAAAAACAAAAACGAAAAAAGAAAGTCCAAATTGGGCTAACTTGGAAATACAACCCGAAAATAATAAATAATGTCAAAAATTCCCACATCTTGCCTTGGCACCAAACTTGAGCGATAGCGACTTGAAGTTGAATATGAACACCCCATGCCAATGTGCTGGATGACCTTCTATTTCTCTCATGTGATCCATTGTCCAAAGCTATCCTATAATCTTCGTCACCAATTTGGAATTTATTTCTGTCATTATAGACTACGTGCCTATAGCTTTTAAACAAATAAGTCTAAATATATGATTTTTGACGACATTGGATCCTCCCATTCTGATCCCCGGACTGTTCACTTTTTCCTTGTTATCTTATGTAACTTAACTCTGTTATGCAAACAAAACTTTGAACAAGTCAATATGTAATATGGATCACATATCTCTTCCTTGATGCGTTTACATTGATGTACATCAATCCATCTTTTGTCTAGTTGTAAGTCACCAACTGAAATACATTATTGGGTAACCCAAGAAAGGTTGTGTGCACTTTTATTACAATAAGAACGTCCTTAATATAGAAAGAAGAAAAACTCTCTTCCAAACATAATGTCAAAGACTTAAATTCAACCGCAAATGTTTCGTTTCCTTGATAAGGATCGTATATGGCTAGGGACATGAATTGACAATTGCTTCTTGATGACTTTAATGGGATATTAATGTTTGAAAACATATACAATTTCCCTCCAATTATATCCCAAGCGTTGTTTGACTCAAGCAGTCTTTGATTATATGTAGCATTAATTCGATTATGACAAGGGAAGAGGTGATGTTCCAAAACCCAAATTTTCATCAAGCGGCCGAAAGTTTAAGCACAATATTCGAGACATTCCCAATTATTCTTGTTACAAGTCAGAGGATCGAAATAATTCACGGTGAAGAAGAAGAAGAAGAAGAAGAAAACTTTGATATAGATTTTCATCTACAATGAACACTGTAAATTTTAGGGGAAAGTCTAAAATGTATGTTGGGCATTAAGATTTGGCAACGTTGCGTTTAGTGATTGACAACTCTTATCAGTGGGAAATGAAAACTCATAACTTTTGAGTGGGATTTGATGGGCACACACACAAGTTGGCCTAACTTTTGCTTCTGCAAGTGCAACAGAAACCCCATCTGTCTTTCTTGTTCCAAGTATGAGAGGAAGCCTCCAAAAGCCCGTTCATTCATAGTCAAAGGAGCCGTCACACCTCAATGAAAAATTGTCACATACGAGCCCATTTTCCTAAAATTCTTATCATCATTTTCAATTTTTTTGTGCGTTTTCGTCTCAAATATACCAAGAAGGAAACAAACAACACATGCTAGAAAGAAAGTTGAGAAACAATTTGTTCAAAGAAAAACTGAGGCGCTGAAAGACACAAACCCACTTTAGGAGTTTACTTATTCAAAACGTAGAAGGTCTTTTTTTCTTTGGGCGGTCGAGAGAGAAAGTGAGAGATATGGAAAAGCCTCTCTCTCTCTCTCTCTCTCTCTCTCTCTCTCTCTCTCTCTGTGTAGATGTTTGTGGTCGGCTGCTAGTCAAACCCCAGCCGTACTCATTGTATTCCACAAAATTTTCTGCATTTTATACAGATGTAAACAATTGCATGCATTTATAATTTTTTTATGGAAATTATAGTTTTTTGTTTTTTCATCCTCCCCTCTCACCCTCTCTCTCAATCTCATCCTCACCCCAATTATCACTCTCATTTTCCTCTATATTCTCTAATACAAGAAATGAAAAATGAAAACTAAAAATTAAAATTGAAATGGTTATCAAACGGACAGTTTCTCATATCAAACGCATTCGAGACATGTGTCTAGTTGGCTCGATGCATACATATTAATCAGTCACCTAAGTTTTCCTTGACGCATGAATGATGCAAGGCTTACATGCATGAAAGGGGTTTGACCTTGAACATCAATAATTAATGAATGAGACTTATGAGCTCGATATTGATACTGGACCTTCTAATCGGGCGAGTAGAAGATCATACCTCTGCCATTTTTCCCGATTTATTGACATTTTACATGTTCTGGTTTTCCAACTTAATTACAGAGAGATTATGTTTCGTATATCTAAATATCTTGCAAATATCTTTTACTCACGTTGATTTTCTTCTTAATTAGGATTAACTTGTAAGACCGTCCATGCCGCACACGAGGCATAAAATGTGCACACACAAAACGCTAAAAGATCGTCCACACGAGTTCAATGTGCAAGTAAATCTGCAAAAAGGATGTTTCAGAGAGACGTGTGGAGAACACCTTCCACAAACCACCAAGACAGACATTAGTGTTGGCAATATTGCAGACGGACAGGAATAAACAATGTGAAGTGGAGGGAGATCTGCAGAGAAATACACATGGGACCCGCTCTTTGTTTTGCTTTTGATTGATGATCATATTAAGGCCAAGACAAGGTTCAAAGTCATATTTGGTCTCATGATTCACGAGCTGTCCATAGCTGATTTATTTAGGGACTATTATTGTCAATAAATTTTGATGTCCATTTCTGAATTTTGTAGCCAACTTTACAAAGAAAGTCTCAAGTATGAGTTGTATTTAGGTCAAATCCCTCACTCTAGATTTCTTAACATCAATAGCTGAGAGTCACTTATTTGTTTTGACAATTACAGTTAATTAGCATTTCTGATTAAATTTCCTAACGTATATTTTAAAAAAAGGGACCCACTCAAGCTAATGAATAATCATCAGCCTGCCCAACTATTCCCAATGAACCCAAATTCTTCCCCAAAAACATCAGAAATTGTAGAAATTTGCAGTCAAAAGCCTCACCACCACCATGCACTTTGTCTTCCCTTTGCCACAGCCCACAAAGGCCTCAGCACGACCTCTAAAGTTGTAAAGTTCCAACTGGATAAGACCACTCTCCATCATCCAACCGGTCACCCAAAAACTCATGTCCCGGGCCCACATCTGCATTATTGAGTCCACGTGTCCCAAACGCTGACGCAATTAATATTAGGTCCTAGAATCATACAGCAGCAAACTAATAGCATAAAGAAGAAGAAGAAGAAGAAGAAGATAAAAGAGACGAAACCAGCACAAGAAGCACGCCATGATTTTTCAATAAAGCGATGGCTTGGCTTACGTGGTCCCCACAACATAATAATACTCACCGCTCATGCAACGACACGTACTTACCCCGTTTCGTCAAACTTGCAATTTCAAGACAATACCCCCATGCAAATCATTACTTTATTAGTACGTGAAAACGACACTTAGCCATACAGGTGGCGTGGACAGGTGTCACTCCCATGTCCCCCTCGGCAGACTTCTCCGGCTCTGTCGCCGGAACATTGGACTCACTGTCGGCATCCGAGAAACCAAATCTTTGAGCTCCTCCTCCTTTCTCTTTGTTTACTTTGTGCAGGCAAAGCTTTTAGCCTTTTCACTTGGATTTTTTATTTCCTCTTATAGTTAGTTATTTCTATATATAAATAAAAATAAAAATAAAATAGTTGCTTTACTGTGACACATTTATTAAAATGTCACTCTTCTTGTGAGTCTGCCAAAATAATATTATTATTCTAAATCGATTAATTATGATTATTGTATGTATTAGGTTTTGTCTACGCATTTGTCACGCGTTCAATACATGACAAGTTTTTTACTATAAATAAGTAATAAACTTTTTTATAATATGATAGGACATAATCCTAATTAAGGAGACAATTAATAAAAGACACATCAATAATGTGTCATTAGAAAAAACAAGGGACATGAAGAAGTTGCTTCCGGATACAGTAAGATTACGAAAGTTGCAAAGACTAATTATTAGACCATTTCACATGTATCAACAGCAGCAAATCCCAATGCCCGGAAAATTGGAAAATCCTAATTATAGGATGCTCGTTTGATCCTGACAATAACAATAATAATAATGAATATTTTTCACATGAATTCATTAACATCCAACATGTCTTGGATGTCAAACTTCAACATGTTGCTACAGTAGCTTTCGCGTTCGTCCTCTGTGCTGCTGTTGAAATTGTACGTCGTTGAATTTGAATTCAAAGGCGTTGGGCTTGAGGAAGGGGTTGAGAGGACTGAAGTAGTGAAGCTGAAATTCTGGTTGCTGTTGGAGTGAAAATTTGAAGTCTCAGGTGAAGGATCCAAAACAGTTTGGTGGTGATCTGAGCCATACTCGTATGCAAGGCTTGGTAATTCAACATACTCATCAGTAAAATGTGAAGGCCCAACGTTGCTCTGCTGCCAATCACTGGGTTGAGAGTTTTGTGACCTAAAATCACTTAGGTTTGACGGGTAGTCTCCATTGGCCTGCTGCAGGATGAGTTGTGGAGCTTCATTGGAGAATGAGATTTCTTGAATGGGTTGCTGAAGTTGGTTAGATTGGACTTGTTGAAATGGGATTTGGGGATTGTTGCAAAGTTGGTGGAAGTTGTTTGTTTCTGGAGAGGTTTGAAGAAGGAAACTGTTTGAGTTATGGTTGTTTTCTCTTTGAGATTGGATGAGAGAAGTTGCTAGCCTTAGTAGCTCTGGGTTGAGGCCTATGGGTTGGCCAAGCAGCCTTGAGAAGTTCATTTGGTGCTGGTGAGACGAGTTGTAGAGAGATGAGCTTAGAATGGATGAAAAGTCAAGAAGGTCAAGACGAGGGCTGTGGGTG